ACTGGTCTGACAAGTTTTCTCTTAGTCCTTGTATAAGCCTCATCTGAAAAATGCAGGGTAAGGTACTTGTGTTGCTTAAGAGTTGCCAAAAGCTCTGATTGCAGGAAAAACAATCCCAGTTTCCAGGGCATTTAGCAGCCCTTCATCCTCTACCTGCCTAACCCCAAGTCAAAACCACAAGAGCAGTGAAGAGAAGTACACCTTCCCCCATCCTCTGGGCATGAGGTTTGAGACTGAGGACAGTGATGCAGACTAGGGCACTCACCAGGAGGCATATAAGGACAGAGGACAGAGAGTAGGCTAGCAGGGAACACTGAGGCCAGCCTGTCCGAGGAGCTGGTAATTCACCACAAGGTGGTAGCAGTAATTATAGCCTTAGGCAGAGTGCTGACCGGTGGACAGGCAACTAAGGGCCTTAACTGCTGGTCCTCTTCCCACACAGCTCTCATCTACATACATCCAGTCCCACCCCACCTCAGCAGCCAGGCCAAAAGACAGTGCAGATAGCTGCGAAAGAAAGAGAGGTAATTTTTTTTTTCTAGCAAAGGAAAAGAATTTATGGCTAAGTAACACTTTGTTGACTATATATGATATTGTATATATTATACATAGCACAATACATACAATTAGAATATTAATTATAAGTATATTAATATATCTAATATATTTATATTAACTTATATTATGATGTTTGATTTATCTTCTGATGATGGGCTCTGAGATTGAAGTTATGATTTGACTGTTGTGCACAGTGCTACAATAAATGTGAGCACAAGGGTAACTCTGTGGTAGGTTTTTATTCTCTTGAGTATGTAGCACTAGTGGTACGTATTATATGGAAATTTTCATTTTGTGAGAAACTTCCTTGCTGATTTCCATAGTGCTGGACAAGTACATTTCCTACCAGCATCCATTCTACATTTGTTCTCTCTTTTCTGGAGATAGAATGTCTGTACTTCAGGGGCTGGGAAGTTGGCTCAGTGGTAGAGTGCTTACCTTGCATGCCTGAGGCCCTGGGTTCGATTCCTCAAGCACCACATAAGCATGAAATAAAAGCCGAAAGTGGCGCTGTGGCTCAAGTGGTAGAGTGCTAGCCTTGAGCTCAGCTCTTCAGCTGAGCGACAGCACCCAGACCCAGAGTTCAGACCCCACGACCAGACCCAAAACAAACAAACAAAAATGTCTGTACTTCATACATCCATTCCTTATTTTTGTTACTGTAAAAACTGATGGGGTTTATTATGACATTCCTACACACACACACACACACACACACACACACACACACACACACACACACACACACATGTATCTTGGTCCTATTGCCCCTCATCACCTTCTCTTGACTCCATTTCCTCCTTATCTGGCTCTTCCTCCTCAAAATGGTCCCAAAGAGAGGTAATTTCTTTCACCAGGCATGCATGAAACTTATAACCTACGCACCATTCTTAGATCCACAACTCTTGCAAAATAAATCCTATTTTCTCTTTCCATTAAAACAAATAAAAAACAAAAAAATGAAATCTTCAGACGTATATATATACAAATACATAAAATTTCCTTAGACTACATTAACTTTCAGAAATTATGGCACACACAAACACTAAAATACATTAAAGCCTTTCCTTAGAGACCTAAGCCACAAACAGAAACAAACAAGTAAGGTACATATGGTTGTCTCTCTCCCTATCTCCTTTCCTCCCAGGACCTCCCAATTCTACTTAGCTTAGAACACTTAGAACTACTTCTCTCCTTAGTAAACCCATTCCTCTTTCAGGCCAGCTGCTCCGAAGAGCCTTTCCCTGAGGTAATCCCACAGTCCTCTTCTCCTTAAGTATATGGCACACACTTAGATTGAAACATAGAAAAAGAAGCTGCAGGGCTGGGAAGGTGGCTCAGTGGTAGAGCGCTTGCCTTGTATGCATGAGGCCCTGGGTTCGATTCCTCAGTATCACATAAGCAGAAAAAACCAGAAGTGGCGCTATGGCTCAAGTGGTAGAGTGCTCACCTTGAGCTGAAGAGCTGAGGTACAGCACCCAGGCCCAGAGTTCAGGCCCCACAACTGACAAAAAAAAAAAAAAGAGAAAAAGAAAAAGAAGCTGCAAAGTGGTGAGCCAATGGCTGATGTCCTTTGGAAATGCAGAGTACCCCACTGCCAAGCGTTCCGAAGTTTTAACCCAGCTTTGCAATGAAATATCCCAATTTAAAAGCAAAGCCAACACCAAATGTGTTAACTACCAACCATTTTTGTGAATGAAAACCATTAACTTTTTTGTACTTCTTTATAGGTATACAGCAATGTATTCAAATTTTTTTCTAAACTTCTGTCCAGGAAATGATCCTTATCAATTGTAAGACCAATAAATTTGGAAAATATATGGTTAGAGAAAGTAAGACTGAATGGTCCTAAGAAAATCTTTATATTTTAAGTCCACTAAGATAAATCAGAACCATTATCTTCTGTGCCTATTGCATAAATAAGAAAGGAAACTATTAATGACCATTTACCTCAGAACCTCAGATGACTTCCTGAGATGATGTCCCCAAGTTTAGTACAGGACCCTACAGTTTACCCTCCATGTTTGTTGAATGACTACATTTTGAGAAGGATGATTGTAGTGATGATGCAGGTGATGCTGAACTGAGAGGATGACAGGAGATAAACTGTTATCTGGAATAAGCAACCTCTGGACCCTCTTCTTCCTTCAACTCAGTTCTGTTTTCTTCACATTTAATTTCAAAGTTAGATTCCAGGAGTTCTATTTTGCCTTTATGGCATTGGCAGTTTTTCAGACATACAGTCTTAGAGCCATTGCCTGAGAGTCCAGGAGTTTTTTCTTCCTTTTCTCCTACCTTCTTTTCCTCATCGGATTCGGATAGCGCTGAGCACCCACTTCATTTGTTTCTTTCAACTCCTTTGCCTGATATTGAAGGGATTTTGTTTTGTTTTTGGCACTTCTTTATAGGTAAACAAAAATGTACTGAAAGTTTTTTCCAAACCTCAGCCCAGAAAATGATCCATATCAATTATAGGACCAATGAAATCTTTAGCCTGGCAGCATAACAGCTTTCAATTTCCTTAGATTTGTCTCTGGTTGTGGGAACTGGTCTTCAATTTCATTTGTGTATAGTAGACATTACTGGTTATTGCCAAAGACTGAAATTTGAGTAGCTCATTATTTTCATTGTTGGTATTAATGGTTCTATAATCAACCATTTTTTTCAGACTCTAAAACTTTGTCAACTTCATCAGCTCTAGGGAAACATGAAGAAACATTTACAGCATTGTCCCTACATTTCCACAAGCATTGTTAGGAATGGGTTATATTACCTATCACCTCTTTAGTCAATAAAGCATCAGCAATGTTTTAATTTACTATTTTTCTTTTAAAATAAAGTGAGGGCTTCTACGTGTGAAGTCACCAAAGTAGTCTTGGTGTAATTTTTTTTTTGGGGGGGGGGGGATCCAGTCGTGGGGCCTGAACTCTGGACCTGGGCGCTGTCCCTCAGCTCTTCAGCTCAAGGCTAGCGCTCTACTACTTGAGCCACAGCGCCATTTCCGGCTTTTTTGGTTTTGCTTATGTGGTGCTGAGGAATTGAACCCAGGGCCTCATGCACGCAAGGCAAGCGCTCTACCACTGAGCCACCTTCCCAGCTGCTTAGTGTAATACTTCTTGAATACTTCAATTATATATAGTATGATCCAAGGACTGGAGAAAGCTGGTGCCTTCCAAGGGAAGAAACACAATATTAGAATAAGCATAGACTCATAATTGAGGGTGGTCTTTTGTCCAAAATTAGCAAGGTTTTTTTTCCCAAGATTCAAAAAATTTTTTCTCTGTTAACTTTAAGCCCCGAGGGACAAAACAATTCTAAAACCAATCCAAAGGAGGGTAGGGGATTACAGATACTTCGGGGTGTGATCAGCAGAACACAGAAATGTAATTTTATTCTTTTTCAAAAAGTCAAGTGGGATTAGGGTCTTTGTAAAGCCATAACGATTATCATTTTGTCCCGAGACATTGGCGTGTGCACACGTGGACGGATGGGGAGACACACACACACTCGACCGAAATGTTTAGTTTCTTCTAAGCTTTCAGGATTTTTGTCTATTTCTTTCAAAGTATGTGAGAAGGCAGTCATTCATTCATTTCCAAAACAGGCTCAACTCCTTGGCCTTGTGTACCTGTAAAGACTCCTAACTTTCCACTTGCTTGCGATGCTTGGGTGTCAACTTGGCATTTAAAGGTTCTTCATTCCCTACCGACCTCGTCATTTGGCAGACAGCCTCGATTTCTAAACTTCTCAACCCCTATCTGGCTCGCGCAGACCACACTGGTTCCCTTCGGACGCCTATGGGTCGATGAGTTTTGCACAGTGGCGAAGCGACAGGCCTTTGGAGCGGCAGGCTCCGTCCGCTCCAGGACCGCAGGGCTTCCTCCGTGAGGGCGAAGCTCTCTCCCCGCCGGCCCAAAGGGGACTCTGGCTTTTCTTCACCAAGCGTATCGCTGGCTCGGCGACACCCACGGGGCATCCCCGCAGCCTGTTCCTCACGCCCTTCATCCAGCTTCTGTCTTCCAGGGGCAGAAGCCGGTGCCTGCTCTGAACAGGCGTCCGGTTGGGGATTCGATCTCGCGGCCGCGGGATCCCAGGCCCCAGGGCTCCGCTCCCCGCGGCCTCGACGGAGGCCGCTTCCTCCCCAGCTGAGATCCTCGGCAAGGGCAGCCGTTTCACTCCCGATAAGCCCTCGCACCCTCCGCCTGCAGGCCCCCCGGAGAGGGCTCGCCCGCCACGCGCCCACCACGTGGACGCCAAAGCTGGTGGCGGAAGCTTCGGAGCACGGCCTCCCTGAGACCCGCCATCACGAAGGACCTTTGACTCCCCGCCGAAGGAACCCGGTATCGCGAGACTTGGCGGCGGTGGCGCCGTCCGCAGATCTCGCGAGTCCTGAGGGTTCCCCTCCCTTCGCTCCTCCCCTCCCCGCCCCGTCAGCCCGGGAACCCCAGTGTGTGGGCGTGCCAGCAGGCAAGATGGCCGCGCAGGCGCTCGCTCTGCTGCGGGAGGTGGCGCGGCTGGAGGCGCCGCTGGAGGAGCTGCGGGCTCTGCAGTCGGTGATTCAGGCCGTGCCGCTGGGCGAGCTGCGGGAGCATTCGGCAGACCTGCGCCTGGGGCCCCTCTTCTCCCTGCTAAACCAGAACCTTCGGTGAGAGAACCCTGGGGGGCCTGAGCAGGGGGGACTCCCCGCACCCCCCAAGTGTGGAGGTGTGCGGGGTGGGTCGGGGCGCCGGGAGGGACCCACGCCGGGCCGAGAGGCCGCAGCTGCGGTTCGAGCCCAGCCTCAGCAGTGCCTCCGGGCACGTTTTTCCCCTGTTTCCCGGCCCCGCCGCCTTATCCGTGAACTGGAGGAGGAATGCGAGGCTTGCCCACCTGCAAAACCTCCAGGGTCACGGGCGACAAGCTCTGGGCTTTTCTCCTCTTTGAAAGGGATTCTGGCCTAGTAGTGTGGCAGAATTCATCAACATGGTGGGGGTGGGGCGTGGGGGTGTGGATGTGTTCGTGCGTGTATCAGCGCCAACCCTGGGACTTGAACCCAGGGCCTGGGTTCTGTCCCCTTTTTTAGCTTACAACTGGCCCTCTACCACTTGAGCTAAAACTCCACTTCCAAGACCCATCAACATGACATTGACATACCTTTAGATTCCAACCAAGAACGTGGGTATACTCGTATAAAATGTGCTATGTGCAGAGGCATGTTCGTAACAGGTGGCATGTGACAGCAAGAAATTGGTAAGCTAAGTACCATTAAGAGGGGATTGCAAATGATTAAATAATACTATGCAGATATTTAAAATATTGGGATTGATTTCTATATGTCGACATGGAAATATTTCTAATAGATGTTCAGGAAGAAAGGAAAATTGCAAAGATGTTCCCATTATCTGTAAATTAAAAAAAAAACACACACACACCAGGCTTGCAGGTCTTGACACTCTTTACCTCTCAAGTTTTTTTTTTAACTTGCGTATCCCACCCTACAACCACAGCAGACTTCTTAGGCCACTTGTTCCAGATCTTTTCCTTTGCCTACATACAGTGTGAAATGTTGACTTCTTTATCCAGTAGGCCCTTTCCAGTATATTTCCATCCTACTTTTCCAGCCTCATCTTTTGCTTTACCCAGCTTAATTTCATCTGTTCCACCCACCATGACACACCATTAAAGTTGCCTAAGCATGACTTTGCACTTTCTTAACATTCTTCACACCAGTCCTTATAACAGAAACGCCCTCTCCACTCCATATTCTGTCTTTTAAAACCCAGCGCCCCCCCCCCCCCCATTCCTACTAATAGGCTATAACTCCATTTGCAAATGACTGGTCTTCAGAGTTCCTAAAGGACCTTGTCATTATCTGTTAATGAATGATACTTAACTCTATTGTCTTATAATAGTTCTCTGTTTATAATCTCTATCTTTCTAGTTTGTTAACTTCTTTGAAGGCAGGGGCATTGTTTTGTTCAGCTTTTCTAGGATACAGTATATAATACCATATGTGCCAGGTGTTAGATTAGGATCAGTGTGGAGAAAGTAGCTAGTCCAACTTCTTCATATTATAGATTAAGAGACTTTCAAAGGTCATGCTGAAAATTGGCAACAGAAATACAACAGGAAGTGAAGTGACAGGAAGTATGAGAAATATGGCAAAAATAAGATTGCTAAATGATAGAAGCAATTTTAATGGAAATTTTAAAATAGGACAATTTAAAGCAATTTATAGCATGCTGATTTCAATTTGTGGGAATTATTTTTTAGATAGTTTCAAAGTCTCCACATAGATTGCTACTATCCTAGCTAAACCATAAAGGTTACTATATTATAGACTCAAGTTCTGATCTTGTACATAAAAATCCCTCTGGTGTGGGACTTGAACTCTGTGCCTATGCTGTTTCACAGCTTGTTTGTTCATAGTTGGCACACTACCACTTGAGTCATGCCCATCCACAGCCTGATATTTTTGCTAGTAAATTAAAGATGGAGTCTCACAAACCTTTGCTGAGGCTGACTTTGAACCTCAATCCTCTGATGTCAGTCTCTTGAGTAATTAGGATTACAAGCATGAGCCACTTGTGCCCAGTAAAAATCTAGAGAGAAATTAAGCTCTAAAATTACTTACAAAAAAGAAACAAACAAGACTTCTTATTAATGCTTTGGCTTATTGGTAATAAAGTCCCACTTACTTATTGGTAATAAAGGACCACTTATGACCTGAAAGTTATACATTGTGTAGTTCAGCAAACTTTTACCACATTTTTCTTTTTTTTTCTTTTTATTTTTTTTTTTCAGTTGTGGGGCTTGAACTCTGGGTCTGGGTACTGTCCCTCAGCTCTTCAGCTCAAGGCAAGCCATCTACCTCTTGAGCCACAGCACTACTTACAGTTTTCTGGTGATTAATTGGAGATAAGAGTCTCATGGCTTTCCTGCCCAGGCTGGCTTTGAACTGCGCTCTTCAGATCTCAGCCTCCTGAGTAGCTAGGATTACAGGTGTGAACCACCAGCACCCAACACCACTTTTTTTTTTCTTAAAAAAAGCATTATATACAATGCAGTACGCATAATAAAATGTATAATCTGACAGGTTTTCATATTTGTGTTAAACCATCACCACAATCAAGATAGTGAACATACATTTCAGAAGTTTCTTCAGGTGCCTTCCCACTTTCCATCAATACAGATGAACATGTTGGGGTTTGCTGATGTGAGTGAAGGGGCATTATGTATATAGAGTCATGGAGTATGCTGTCTTGCTTGTTTTAATTTTATTTCACAAAAATAATTATTTTGAGATTTATTGATGCAGTGTAAAGGAATAGTTCATTCCTTTTCCGTGCTAAGTTGTAGTTCATTGTATGGATGTACCCAAATTTATTGATGTTCATCAGTGGGAAAAGTTTTCTGCTTAGGAGTTTTATAAATACACTACTGTGAACATTTATATATACCAGTCTTTTTTAAATATTTATTTATTTATATTGTGAAAATACCCTATAGAGGGGTTACAATTACATGGGCAAGATAATGAGTACATTTCTTATCAAGCATTGTTGCCTCCTCCTTTGTTTCCCCTTCCCATCCCTTCCCATCTCCCACTCCCCCACCCCCTACTTCCCCCCTAAATTTTTATTTATTGTTATTGTAAAGGTGATATACAGAGGGGTTACAGTTATATAAGTCAGTAAAGAGTACATTTCTTTTTGGACAATGTTACCCCTTCCCTCCCTCTCTCCCAGTTTTTCCCTTCTGTCCCCATCCACAAGTTGTATAGCTCATTTTCAACATAGTGTCCAGTGAGTATCACTGCTGCATTTATACAAGCCTTTGTATAGCAGTATTCTTTTCTTTGAGTAAATGTCTAAAGATAGAAGGGCTGAATAGTTGGATAGGTTTTTGTTTCCCATAGTTTGTATACCATTTTACATTCCCAATTCCCATGAGCAGTATATGAGATTGGATTTATGGACTTAATGTAACACCTAAAACTAAAACTTTTAGAAAAAAAAAGGAATTTTTTTAACCTTAGCTTTTACAGATTAAAAATTATAAATTGGAGTTCATTAAAATTAAACTTTCTAATCTTCAAAGGTCATAGTTAAGAGAAAGAAAAAACAAGTCACAATGGAGAAAAATCTTTTCAAAGGCTCTGTCTGATAAAGGACTTGTATTCAGAATATATAAAAAAACCCTCACTATTCATACAAGATGATATTACCCAATTAAAAATTGAGCAAGATGGGCAATGGTGGCTCGCACCTATAATCTTAGCTACTCAGCAGGCTGAGATCTGAGGATCACAGTTGGAAACCAACCTCAGGCAGGAAAGGCAGGGAGACACTTATCTCTAGTTACCCACTAGAAAGCCAGACGTGGTGCTATAGCCTACAGTAGAGAGTGCTAGCCTTAAGTGAAAAAGCTCAGGGACAGTGTCCAGGCCCTCAGTTCAAGCCCCATGACCCCCCCCCCCAAAAAAAAAAAAAATTGGTCAGTGTCGGACACCAGTGACTCTCACCTGTAAACCTAGGTACTTAGGAAGCTAAGATCTGAGAATCACAGTTTGAAGCCAGCTGGGCAGGAAAGTCTGTGGGTAGGACTCTTGTCTCTAGTTAACCACCAGAAAACCACAGCAATGGAGCTGTGGCTCAAAATGGTAGAGCACTAGCCTTGAGCAAAAGAGTTCAGGGACAGCACCCAGACCTTAAGTTCAAGCCCCATGACTGACCAAAAAAGGGTTGGCTTAAGTGGCACCAGCTTTGGGCCAAAGGAGAGCTCAAGGCCCTGAGTTAAGACCCAGTACCAGCAAGCAAACACACACACAAAATAGGACTGGGATGTAGCCTATTGGCAAAGTGTTTGCCTAGCAAATGCAATGTCCTGGGTTTGATCCCCGATACCAAAACAACAACAAAATAGTTTTAAAAAACCACACAAGCCCAGCACTAGTGGCTCACGCCTGTAAATCTAGCTACTCAGGAGGCTGAGATCTAAGGATCCCGATTCAAAACCAGCTTGGGCAAGGAAAGTCCAATAAACCACCAGAAAACCCGAAGTGACTCTGTGTCTCAAGTGGTAGAGGGCTTGCCTTCGGCTGAAGAGCTCAGGGACAGGGCCTAGGTCTGGAGTTCAAGCCCCACATCTGACAAACACACACAGCACACACACACAAAATAAATGGAAAATGAATGATCCCAATTTTTCTTTTTCTTTGAAACAGGATCTCACTTATGTTGTCTGGACTAGTCTTTAATCACTGGAATTGAGCAATTTTCCTGCCTCAATCTTCTAAGTAGCTAGGACTACAAGCAAGCATACGCCATTTCACCTGGCTTTAATAACATTTTTTTAAAGAAAAAAAACCCATATCAGAAACAGTGATTCCACATTTCCCTTTGTTCTTCTCACCAGCTCCTTCATCCAGGAGTTTATTATCTCTATGTTTTTGTCTATTCTGGACATTCCATATAAGTGGAAGCATTACAAAAAAACCTTTTGGCCAGTGCCAGGGGCTTACACCTCTGTACTAACCATAGCAACATAAATATTACATGTTATATTTATCTGTTCCTCAGTTGGTGGACATTTGGGTTATCTTGGGCATGAAAACATTCTTCATTACCCCTTAGGCTCAGTGATTCAAGGTACAATCCCTGGGTCAAGTTTCCTTTGTGGATCCATGCAGAGATGTCTCAAATACTCAAATGTTCCAGATGTCTAAAAAGGTAGATTGGGAGGATCATGATTTAAGGCTAGCCTTGACAAAAGTTAGCTCTACCCTCTTCTCAATTAGTAAGCCAGCGTAGTGGCACTCACCTGTGATCCCAGCTACCTGGGACTTGTAAGTAGGAACATCATGGTCTGAGATTGACGTTGAACAACAACAACAACAACAAAAAAAAAAAAACACTAGGCCCTCCTGAAAAAATAACAAAAAAGGAGTGTCTGCCTAGCAAGCTGATTTCTTTCTTTATTCCTTGCTATTCATCTCTCCCTTCTCCTCCCCTATACTAACCCCAGTCATACCAAGCTCCATGAGGTTTATTTAAAATATTAATGACATGTCTTATTCTCCAATACTATTTCATATGCTAGGATTAGTTTTTTCCTAGATTACTTGTACTTTTAAAAACTTAGAATCAGATGTTACTTCTGTAAGAAGCCTTCCCTATACCTTGTGTTCTTTTTTAAGCTCCTGTAGCTTGTAGCCCTAGCTTGTACCATTTTTGTACCTGGGTTGTATTTGCCTTCCATTTTTCTGTATCTTCCATTAGACTGAACTTGAGACATAGAAAATAGTATATCTTATGTCTTCATAGTCCCAACCCCTGCATAGTGGATAATAGGTATGTAGCAAATGTTTAATGAGTGAGCAGAGCTGCTGTCTTGAAGAGAAGTCTTTCTGGAAGAATCCTCTTGTGCTAAGTTGTAGCAGTTGCTTCCAGTGTAATGGGACATGAACTAATGCGATCTATGGTGACTCCTTTAGGGAACAGACGGATTTATGTGTATCCATTCTGGAGAGATTCCTCCAAGCTATGGAGCCAGTTCACGTGGCCAGGAACCTCAGGGTTGACCTACAAAGGGGACTGACTCATCCTGATGATTCTGTCAAAATCCTTACTCTGTCCCAGGTATGAAATTTTACTAGCACAAATAGGAACTGACTTGGGTCATCTGTTCTCTGCCAGGTTCTATGCTGGGTGTTAGTTTCACTGTCTCTAGGGTATATCAAGGCTATTCTATTATACATAACTATAATCTGGAAATATATGCTAAAATAAAAAGTTCCACTAAGTAAAATGTTAATCAGTGTTATATCAAATACTGGTTGAACTCCTTGGACATGCCAGGTATCATATTATCTATTATTGGAGTTACCAAGATAAATCTGGGTATTTTTTTTTCTTCAAGATGCTGCTAGTCTAGAGAAAAAGATTCTTACTCTGCTGTGTTAGGTCTAGTTATTGTAATCATCACTGAGGGAGGCTGGGCACTGGTTCATACCTGCAGTCCTAGCTGCTCAAGAGACAGAGATATGAGGACTGAAGTTCAAAGCCAGCCTAGGCAGAAAAGTACATGAGACTCATACATCTAACTAACCAGCAAAAAGACAGAAGTGGGGATGTGGCTCAAGTGGTAGAGCCCCAGACTTGAGAAAAAAGCCAAGTGAGAATACAAGGCTCTGAGCTCAAGCTCTAGTACCCGCACATACACACAAAAATTTGCGAGCAAACAATTAAGAATGTAGATCCTACACTGTTTTATATTTTCTTCTCTAAAGTGGTTATTCGGCACAAAGGGCAAAGATAAAAATTTTTTCGTTGATTCTGTGTGTACCACATACTATTGTAGATGCTTTGTGGCTATGTAATCTCACTTAATCTTTGTAACAACCCTAAATTAAGTACCACTTTTCCCACTTTACATATGACAATCTGGGCTCAAAGAAGTTAACTTGCCCAAAGTTAACACTGCTAAAAAGTTACATGACTTAGGATTTATATTTACTGCTTGATCTATATGCACTTTACTTTTTTTTTTCTTCCCCATTTAAAGGTGTGACAATATGTATGTGCTTCTGGCCTTAATGTCAATTGTGACTTTTTAACAAATTAGATAAGCGCCACTGGTGGCTCATACCTGTAATCCTAGCTACTCAGGAGGCTGAGACCTGAGGATCACAGTTCAGGGTTAGCCCAGGCAGGAGCTTCTGTGACACTCTATCTCCAATTAACCACCAGAAAACCAGAAGTGGCGCTGTGGCTCAAGTGGTGTAGCGTTTGCCTTTAGCGAATAGCTGAGGCACCGCACCCAGGCCCAGAGTTCAAGCCCCAGGACCGAAAAAAAAAAACTTGGGTGGTAGTTGTGATCACTAACTTCTAAAATAATTGCATACTATGGAAATGGGAACATCATATATGTAAATGTTGTTCTAACTTGGAAGAGTATTTCTCATTTTTTTTTTCTTTCAGGTTGGAAGAATTGTTGAACATTCAGATGCTGTCACTGAGATTCTGAATAATGCTGACCTATTAAAACAAATTGTTTATTGCATTGGTGGAGAGAATCTATCTGTAGCTAAAGCGGTGAGTTTGTTAGAGACATTGTGTCCTAAAGTCAAGAAAAGACCTTTTCATCTACTCAGAACATAATAGGCTAGGATACTGTAAAGACATTTACATATGTTGATTGCTGCACCTTTCACAGTAGCCAAGTTATGGCTATCATAATAGACGAGTGGATCAACAAATGTGGTACAAATACAGAATGGAACCTTACTCATCTATTAGAAAGGATAATATTATGTCATTTTCAAGGAAATGGATGGACCTAGAACAAATCATGTTAAGTGAGATAAGCTAAGCTCAGAGAGACAAATGGCATATGTTTTCTTTAATATATGAAAGCTAGATCTAAAAGAAAAGTGGCTATGATAACTTACAAGGGACTCTGTATTCACACACAAGCAGACTTGGGGAGGAACCCAAAAGCATAACTCCCTGAACATTTAAAATACTATCAAAATGAATTCCAGGAAATAGAGACATGGGGTTTGTTGTTGTTGATGATGATGATGGTGGTGTTGGTATTTGGTTTTGCTTTCGAGTTTCTTTTCTTTTTAGGAGGGCAAGAAGGGGACGCATAAAGGGAGGGAGGGTGAGCAAATGCAATCATGGTATTCAGTATGCGTTATGTGGAAAATGAACTATGCAATTTGTGGGCAGGGACGGGAGGAAGAAACTGAGGGAAAACAAAGAGGTGACAGTGTCCAAAAAAAGAAATGTACTCTTTACCTGACTTATGAAATAACTAACCCCTCTGTACAACTCCTTAATAATAATAAAATTATATTAAAAGAAAAATAAAAGCCCTTCTGAATTGAGAGGTAAAAACTTGGAATTAACTTTGTATCCTCATGTAGATGATAGCAAGTAATAAATGGATAAGTAAATAGTAGTTAACCCCTCTTTTCTAGGACACAGATAACGGTATTGTCATTTGGGCTTACATTGTGTTGCTAATCTTTTCTAGTTATAAATATCAGTAGCTAAAATAGAGTGAATGCTCATTGAATGAGTGCATTTTTTGCACTAATTTTCACATCAACCTTAGGAAGTCGATATATATTTTTGTTAACTTAAAATACTGTTTTTCTTATAAGGCTATCAAATCCCTGTCAAGGATATCATTAACCCAAGCTGGGCTGGAGGCCTTGTTTGAAAGCAACCTGCTGGATGATTTAAAAACTGTAATGAAGATAAGTGACATTGTTCGGTACAGGGTCTATGAGGTAAGACTAAGAGCCCACACTTTCTTGATGCTTACAGAGTAGAATCCAGTCAGTTACAATGGAAAGCAAGGGGGATCATTTAGTTTGCACGTAAACTGTGCCAGCCGTTATCTGAGGTACAGGGAGCATGCTGATGTGATCCCATGTTGCTGTATAGGACAGTCACAAAAAACAAAGTGTAATGTGAATCCTATATTAGAAGAGTGTAGGGTAAGTACTGTATTAGAGGAGTAGGATACCTTTGATAACAGACCAAACAAAATTATTATGGCAGTAGGAAGAAAAAGTGGCCTCACTATTGGAGGAGTAATTGACCCAAACTAAATATTTAGTAGGGCCATATATCTGAAATGGAACCTTGTACAATCTTAATTCCTTTCATGTTCATGGATAGGTAGAATCAATATTGTGAAAATGGCAATACTGCCAAAAATGACAGACAAATTCAATGCAATCCCCATCAAAATCCCAATGATGTTCTTTATTGAAATAGAGAAAACAATCCAAAAATCCATATAGAACAACAAAAGGCCTAGAATAGTCAAATCAATTCTAGGCAAAGGAGCTAAGGACGTACAGTGGAAAAAAAGCCTATTCAACAATTGGTGTTAGGAAAATTGGGCAGCCATATGCAGAAAAGTAAAAGTGGATCCTTGCCTGTCACCATGTACCAACATCAATCCAAAGTGGATCAAAGACCCCAACGTCAGAACTGAAACTCAAAAACTACTGCAAGAGAGAGTAGGGGAGACATTAGAACTTACAGGTACAGGCAGGAACTTCCTGAATAGAGTCCCAGATTGTCAGCCACAAGCAAAAAAGCCTAGTGAGATAGAGACCTGGAACTCAAGCCCCAGTACTAGCTCAGATTAAAAAATCTGTTTCTGAATCACATCTGCTTAAAACCCCTTCATTTTTTTTTTTTTTATTAAGCCTTCAGGACATGCTTGTCAAATGAACTGACTAAATGATTGACAGACTACATGAACAAGTTTGTTTTTTCAGTGCTGGTATTAATACATGCTAAGCAAGAACTCTACCACTGAGCTACATATTCTGCCTAAGAATGAATGGTTATATATCTGTTGTTGCTAATTAAAACTTTCATACACCATGACTGATATATTTTTGGGGGGTAAGCGTGGATTTATCCATATGTAAAGGAATATTTATGTACCAAAGCAATTTCTTGTGAGTTCAGTGAAGATGTCTTAGAGACAAATAAGAAGTAATAGATACTAAAGAATTTAATTATATAAAGTACCTAGTTAGATGTGTAACTTAAAATGAAATTTAAGAGGTTTAAGAATGTTTTGACCTTTTTCTAATTTTTCTTTCAGCTAATTGTGGAGATTTCTTCTGTGTCCCCTGAGTCTTTAAACTACTGTACCACAAGTGGATTAGTGACCCAGCTCCTGAGAGAGCTGACTGGCGAGGATGTACTGGTCAGGTATGTTGATTTAAGGAGAGTTTATAAAGTGAGATGTCCTTTTTGGAACATCAGAAAACAGCCTTGTTACTTAGCATGATTTTCCACTTTTGTCCATGCTGCCATCTTATGGCTTTCAGAAAATAGTTCAGGTCATGTTAGACAAGTTAGAGGTTTTGGAGTGACTGTGTCCTTTATCCCTAGGCAAGTGTGCTCTTACTGAAATCAGATGGCATCTGCCATTTCGGATGGTATAACATTTTATCAGGTGGTTCTTTGACATCATCTTTCTTTCCTTTCAGAGCCACTTGTATAGAGATGGTGACATCACTGGCATATACCCATCATGGACGACAATACCTTGCTCAAGAAGGAGTAATTGACCAGATTTCTAATATAATTGTTGGTGCAGATTCAGACCCTTTCTCTAGTTTCTATTTGCCAGGTAAGAAACATTGATTCTTGTGGAAATGATAGTACATTTTTTGTTGTTGTTTCTGAGTTACATAATTGGAGGAGGCCAAAGATTATTCTCCTTAAAGCTCTTTCACTTTAGAAAATACCCATAGCCACCAAATTCATAGCCTAGTGTCTTCAATCAGTTAAATCACAGTTGATTTACATGTACAAATAATAAATGTGGTATACCAGATTAACAGGCCAAAGATACATGATCTTCTCAATATATGCAAAAAGGTCATTTAATAAAATCCAGTATCTCATCATAAAAAAATCAATTAAAGGGGGCTGGGAAGATGGCTCAGTGGTAGAGTGCTTGCCTTGCATGCCTGAGGCCCTGGGTTCAATTCCTCAGCACCACATAAGCAAAAAGAAAAAAGCCAGAAGTGGTACTGTGGCTCAAGTGGTAGAGCGCTAGCCTTGAGCTGAAGAGCTGAGGGACAGCGCCCAGGCCCAGAGTTCAGGCCCCATGACCGGACCAAAAAAAAAAAAATCAATTAAGGAACCGGCACCAGTGGCATGCACCTGTATTCCTAGCTACTTATGAGCCTGAGATCTGAGGATTTTGATTTGAAACCAGCCTGGGCAAGAAAGTTTGTGAGACTTGTCTCCAATAACCAGCAGAAAGCCAGAAGTATAGCTGAGGCTTATGTGATAGAATGCAATTTTTGAGCACAGGAACATCACCCAGGATCTGAGTTCAGGCCCAAGGTCCAGCACAAAAAAAACAAAACACTTCAATTAGGTATGACTGGACTTCAACACAGCAAAGGCCTGTAGGACAGTTCCATGGCTAATATGTACTCAATGGTGAATAGTTGAAAGCTTTCCTCTTAAGATCAGAAACAAGATGAGGCTGCTCTCTCATTTACCACTTAGAAGTAAAAGTTAGGTAAGAGAGTCAGCAGTTAGGTAAGAGAAAAAAATAAATGAATAAAGGCATCCAAATATATATAATGTATAACATATAATAAGTTACTTGCAGATGACACAATCTCATGTATAGAATACCTTACAGCATCTACCAAAAATTGTTAGGCTTAAGAAATTAATTCAATAAATTTGTAAGATACAACAGCAACATAGAAAATTCAGTAGCATTTCTATACACTGACAACTATCAAAATAAGAAATGAAGGAAAGCATACCTAAGAAGGAAAAAGATCTCTATACTGAAAACTGTAGGATATTGATAAAGAAAATTAAAGATACAATTGGAAAGCTATCTCAGGTTTATAGTTTGGAAGGATTAATAGGGTTAATTGTCTATACTCAAAGCCATTTACAGATTGCATACAATCTGTAAAAGTTCTGTCAAAGTTCCAATGACATTTGCTACAAAAATAGAAAAAAAAGTCTTAAAATATATCTGAAAGTACAAAATAGCAAAAGCAATATTAAACAAAAGAATAAAGCTAGAGAACTTATGGTACTTAAGCTGTAATCCTAGCTACTCAGGAAACCGAGATCTGAGGATCACTTAGAGCCAGCCCTAGCAGGAATCTGAGACTCTTATTTCCAGTTAACTACCAAGAAGCTGGAAGTAGACCTGTTGCTCAAGTGGTAAGAGGGCCTTGAGTGGAAAAAGCTAAAGGACAGCTCCCAGTCCTGAAGTTCAAGTTCAAACACTGGAACAACATAAAAACAAAACAAAAACATTGCCATTTCTTTAAAAGCTTCATGAAAAGAAATGCACATAAAAATACTAATACTGACTGACACAATGTATGTCACAAGTTTATCAAATCTGATATGGAATCTTTAGTAACAGAAAATGTATTCCAGCTATTCTATTGCAGTATATTATTGATTAATGTTTCTTTTTCTTTTCTTTTTTTTCTTAGAGCTTGAACTCAGAGTTAGGGCACTGTCCCTGAGCAGTTTTTTGCCCAAGGCTGGCACTCTACCACTTGAGCTACAGCTCACTTCTGGCTTTTTAATGCTTAAAGATAAGAGTCTCACAGACTTTTCCTGCCGGGGCTGGCTTCAAGCCACAATCCTCAGATCTAAACCTCCTGAGTAGCTAGGATCACAGGCATGAGCCACCATCACCCAGCTTGGTTGATCTTTCTTAAATACTTCCAGGAGTTGGAGATTTATTCCTTCCTGAGGTGGCCTATCTTTATTTGTTGGTGACCATTTCTGTTTAAAAGTTTCTTTCCAATAATGACTAAACTTACTGCCCTATAATTCGTATCCACTGGTCTTTGTACTCTGTTCTCTCTCTTACATAGGACAGTACTTCAGCATCTAGACCTAGCTCCATTGATAACCTGGGGTTTCTGTTCTCTCAGGACTACCCATCACAAGTCCTTTGGTCTTTATGGTCTCTGGTTTCCAAACAATACACTATTCTAGCCTTTCTTTTCTTTCTAACCTGTAGGTTTATCTCTGTTCTGTAAAAACATTGAATCTACCATTTCTGCTGTCTATGGCTTTTAAAATGCATTTTTGTAAATACCTTTAGGATTCGTGAAGTTTTTTGGAAACCTGGCTGTCATGGATAGCCCTCAGCAGATTTGTGAACGTTATCCTGTCTTTGTGGAAAAAGTGTTTGAAATGACAGAGAGTCAGGATCCCACCATGATTGGTGTAGCTGTAGACACAATCGGAATCCTGGGGTCCAATGTTGAAGGGAAACAGGTTTTACAGAAAACAGGTTGGTATGACTAGTCTTGACTTTTATTAGGTGTATATTAATTTTTGATCAGGATTCAGTACTCATGTTCATTTGCTGGTGGACTAACTACATTGTAGAAACAACTTTTATGAGTAGCACTCTCTGTCTATGATGACTCATCTTTACATATTGCATAGTTACTGCTGAACACCTTTATATCTTTGTACTTCTCACTGTTTATGGTTTTACCAATCACTTATGACCAAATACCGTCTCCCCTCCACATCTTCCTTGACTGGTGTTTGTGTTCGAAGATCAAGTTGGGGCTCAGTTCTGACACTGAGGACATGGGTGTTAGTTAGCTTTTTGGACTTCATTTACTTCATGTCACTTTTCTAGGCCTCACTTTCCTCATTTGTAAAAAGGGAATAACAATTATCAGGGTTATTTTGAATATTCCACAAATTTTTTTGTATTTATAATGACAGGAAGGAAACAAAATTTGTTATAAGACTTAACAAAAATACTTTCATGGTGCATCCATGAGAATGTTCATAGCTTAACAGATTCTCCATAAAAGTAATATGCAAGCTGGGCGCCTGTGACTCAGACCTGTAATCCTAGCTACTCTGGAGGCTGAGATCTGAGGATCGTGGTTTAAAGCCAGCCCTGGCAGGAAAGTCCATGAAACTCTTTATTTCCAATAAACTATCAGAAAACCTGAAGTGGTGCTGTGGCTCAAGTGGTTGAGTGCTAGTCTTGAGTTGAATTACTGAGGGAGCGCACCCAGACCCAGAGTCCAAGCCCCACGACCAAAAATAAAAAAGTAATTTGCAGCAATAATTTGAAAACCCTTGCGCTGGGAAGCTCAGTGATACAGTGCTTGCCTTGCATGCATAAAGCCCTAGTTTTGATTCCTCAGCACCACATAAGCAGAAAAAGCTGGAAGTGGTGCTGTGGCTCAAGTGGTAGAGCACTAGCCTTGAGCTAAAGAGCTCAGGAACAGCACCCAGGTCCAGAGTTCAGACCCTATGACCGACAAAAAACAAAACAAAAAAAAAACACTTAGGAAGCATATGTTGAAAATTTATAAGCCATTGTATATTACAGCTAATACCCTGCTATGTGTACTTATCTAAGTGCTTTTACAAACTATGACATATCCTTTTTCAGTCCTGCAGAGAACATACTATTGTCATTCTCATTTTACAGATCAGGTAGCTGAAACTCAGAGAAGTTAAGAAAAGTTTCTAAGATCATTCAGACTGGGGCAGCTGCTACTCAATCCAGGTCCTTTGATTCCAATCCTATCCACTTTGCCTTATGTATGCTGCCGTGCATATCAATGTGTGGTTTAGGTGTGTCACTTGGTCTCTGACTACATGCTTATTTTTGTGTTGCTTTAGGTCTTTATGGGGTATAATACATGAAAGTATGATTTCTCTTATGTTTTTAAAAATATAAAGTGTTAAGATGTGGAGAAATTATAATCCTGTGTTTTGGAATGGAAATATGAAATGATACAAACACTATGAAAAACAATATGGAGGGGCCACAAAAAAGTAAATATAGAATTACTATATTGGCCCGGCAATTCCATTTCTAAGTATGTACTCAGAGATATTGAAAGCAAGGATCAAATAGCTGTTTGTACACTGGTGCTCATGGCCACATTATTATAGCTAAAACAATAATCAGTGACGGAAAATGGACCAACAAAATGTGACAAAAACATACAATGAATCTTGCTCTATAAGAGTATTGTGACAAGAATTACAACATAAAATTTGAGGATATTAAATCAAAAGAAGCTAGACATGGAAGACGTGCTCCATGATTCCATTTAGATGAGGCACATACAACAGCCAAATTCCTAGAAACAGAAAATAGATAGTGGTTACCTGGGAAACAGGGAGGGCTGGGAACCTTGTTTAAGGATTACAGAATTTCACTTGGGGATTGGTGAAAAAACTCTGGAGGTGTAGATAGTGGTGACAGTTGTACAACGGTGTGAATGTATTTAATGGTGCTGAACTGTGTACTTATAATGGCACTCTTATGCTATATGTATTTTACACATACCAAAAAAAGAATCATACTGTTCTCCTTCAAAGGAACTCGCTTTGAACGATTGCTCATGAGAATAGGATATCAAGCAAAGAATGCTTCTGCGGAGCTGAAAATACGATGTTTGGATGCAGTCTCCTCTCTTCTGTATTTAGCAGTGAGTAGATCATGAAGTTAATGCAAAGTAGTGGAATAAATAGATCAGAATAAATCTGACCTATGTAATGCAACATAATACTAGTTAGCTTAATGTAAACGTTGACCAAGTAAATGTCATCTTTCTTACTTTTTTTTTTTTTGGTCGGTCGTGGGGCTTGAATTCTGGGCCTGGGCGTTGTCCCTCAACTCTTCAGCTCAAGGCCAGTGCTCTACCACTTGAGCTACAGCGCCACTTCCATCTTTCTTACTTTTAATAAAAGAAGATAATCTTCATTATTAGATAGTGACCGTTTCAGTTAGAGTGAACTATAGGGTATTAGAATTGAGCCAGGTACCAATAGCTCACACCTGTAATCCTAGCTGCTTGGAAAATAGGGATGATGAGGATCACAATTTGAGGACAGCCTCAGCAAAGCCTTTTTGAGCAAAAGCATGTTGATGTACGCCTGTCATGCCAACTACAGTTGTAAATATAAGTAATAGGATCTTGGTGCACAATGGCCCAGGAAAAAAGGATGACCCTATTTCAAAAATACTTAAAGCCAAAAGGCCTGGGGACATGGCTCAAGTGGTAGAACACCTATCTAGCAAGCATAAAACCTTGAGTTCAAACTCCAGTACTTTAAAAATGAAACAAAAAGAACCATTAGATATTGCTAAACCTCCCACAAAAACTGGGGAAGTTCTGGGCTGGGCCTGAGTATGAGTGTTTTAGACTTAAGTAAGACCACATAACCCAAGTTTTCTGATTTAAATACATCCTTTTCTCCTTGTACATTAATTTTGTCCTGAGAGCTTTCCTTTTCTTTCCTGTAGCCTGAGCAGCAGACTGATGACCTCCTGAGAATGACAGAGTCATGGTTTTCCTCTTTGTCAAGGGACTCGCTGGACCTCTTCCGTGGGATCAGTAATCAGCCCTTCCCTGAACTACACTGTGCTGCCTTAAAAGTGTTCACAGTAGGTATTCTCCTCCATTGGCCTTGCTGGGGTTCAGCCAAGTCAACACAAGTGCTTACAGTGAGCCAGTGCCCATGCTGTGCTCTTGTAAGAACACCACATAGTTTCTGCCGCCTGCCCTCATCTTCCTGAGCCTTATTTCCTGCCACTCCCTTCTGGCACTTAATGCTCTTGCTTGTCTTGTCTCTGGACTTTGCTGTACCTTCTGCATCCAGTACTCTCTCCTAACTTTCTTTCTTTTTTTTTTTCTCTCTCCTAACTTTCTTCATTCTTCAGGTACTTTTTCAGTACATTTTTACCCCAATGGGTTAAATGATTTTGGCTTTCATATCACTTTTATTCATTCGTTCATGAAATGTTTCAAGTTTAAAGTCATATCTTGCTAACTTCCATTCCCTTTCCCTCCTCCCTGAGTATAATCATTACAAACTCAGGATTTACAGACCCATAGGTGATGTCATATTTCTCATATAAGTTGTGTGTATGTTTAAAGCACAGTATTTCATACGTTGTTGGTTTTTTTTGGTTGGTTTTTTTTTTGGTCCGGTCGTGGGTCCTAAACTCTGCACCTGGGCGCTGTCCCTCAGCTCTTCAGCTCAAGGCTAACGCTCTACCACTTGAGCCACAGCGCCACTTCCGGCTTTTTTCTTTTTGCTTATGGGGTGCTGAGGAATCGAACCCAGGGCCTACATGCATGTAAGGCAAGCACTCTACCACTGAGCCAGCTTCCCAGCACCGCTATTTCATACATTCTTAAATTGTGTAACTGGTTATCATCATACTGTTCATGTAATTCTCCTACTTGCTTTATCTCTCCAACATTGTTTTAAAAAGATGCCAGTATTAAAAGAGGTAGTTAAGAAATCAGTATTTCGTTGAATAGCTACAATGTGTGACATTCTGCAAATGAAGATTTAGATAGTGGCTGTAGATAGCTTGTGATCCTAACTATTCAGGAGGCTGAGGTCTGGGGAGCAGAGTTCCAAGCCAACCCCATCAGGAAAGTCCATGAGACTCTTACCTCCAATTAATCACCAAAAAGGCCAGAAGTGGAGCTGTGGCTCAGGTGGGCAGCACACTATCTCTGAGCAAACAAACAAACAAAAAGCTCATGGATGGTGCCTAAGCCCTGAATTCACGCCTCAGTACCTATACTGAAGAAAAAAAAAAAACACTCGCATAAGTATTAACTTATGTCATTATCTTTTTTTTTTTTTGGGGGGTCTGGTAGTGGGGCCTGAACTCTGGGCCTGGGCACTATCCCTCAGCTCTTCAGCTCAAGGCTAGCGCTCTACCACATGAGCCACAGCGCCACTTCCGGCTTTTTTCTTTTTGCTTATGTGGTGCTGAGGAATCGAACCCAGGGCCTCATGGGTGCAAGGCAAGCGCTCTACCACTGAGCCACCTTCCCAGTCCGTCATTATCTTTTTAATTTATGTCGTTTGCTGTTTATTTTTTATTTGTTGTAGTCACACCCTATATATAACTTGGATCTGCTTTTTTCATATAATAGATCTGTCCATGTTAATATGTGTTCTCCCTGTAAATTAGTCTTAATGTTATTTTTACTGTATGTGTGGTTATATTCCATAATTTACATAAATATTTCCTCATTATTTGACATTATGTTGTAACTTGTTTCTTGTTTCTCAGGACAGAATTTAATTAGGTAAAAGGGAATATTTTTAGGGTTTAATGCTACCACATTTCTGAGTATTACGCCATCTCATAACTGAAGCCCAGAGCAATTATGTTCTTTATGCTTTTTGTTTCAGGCCATTGCAAACCAACCCTGGGCTCAGAAACTTATGTTCAACAGTCCAGGTTTTGTGGAATATGTGATGGACCGGTCTGTGGAACATGACAAAGCTTCGAAGGATGCCAAATATGAACTGGTGAAAGCCCTTGCCAATTCCAAAACAATTGCAGAAATCTTTGGGAATCCAAATTATTTGAGGCTTAGAACATACCTAAGTGAAGGTCCATACTATGTGAAACCTGTTTCCACAACGGCAGTAGAAGGAGCTGATTGAGTTTTTCTAGAGTCTGATGTAGGGGACCATGTTTTTACCTGGACTTCTCCTAAGGCATTTGGCTCCATCATATTTTGGAAAACAGAGACTTCCCTCTTCCCCAAGCTATCATGGAGTGTCTGACGTAACTTTTATCACCAACGTTGTTTCTTTCCATGTTGTTGAGATACAACATAGAACCAAGAGCAAGCAGACATGATCAAAAGAGAACTAGTGTTTTTCAGATTCCTCTGACTGCCTTAATCTTTCCAGTAAGGTAAAAGTTTTGTTCTTAGGGAATTTCCATGGACGTATTCATGTTCTTATTTATAAATATGCTTCAAAATAAACCAAAGTATTTCAGAATTCCCTTTACCACCATGTGTGTGTGTGTGTGAGTGTGTATGTGTGTGTGTGTGAGTGTGTATGTGTGTGTGTGTGTGTATACTCTTTTTCTTTGGAGTCTACTTTCAAAGAAAGTCTTAGGTATATTTGAAAGATAAGTAGTTTGGCATCCTCAAGTTATGTTCCCTGTACAAGGAATGAATACCTTTAATAAAGATCTCTCATGTCTTGTTGTTATTCTTCCTTGGGAAAGTAGACATAAAATAAATCTCAACACTGGGCACTAGTGGCTCATACCTATAATCCTAATTACTGGGGAGGCTGAGATCTGAGGATCATGGTTCAAAGCCAGCAAGTGGCACTGTGGCCTAAAGTGGTAGCATGCTAGCCTTGAGTGCAAAAGCTCACAGACAGTGTCCAGGACCTGAGTTCAAGCCCCATGATGGACAAAAATAAATAAAAATATAAATCTCAAAAAAAGTTTGGTGTTTTCTTTCTGTGGTCTTGTTAAGCTGGTGCTCTACTATTTAAGCCATACTATGAGGTCCTTCCTATAATTTTTGCTGTGTATCAATGGATTTTTCCCTGTTATGGTTGGTCCCTGAACTGCCATTTTATGTATGGGTAGATCATCATTGTGAGGATTTTGCTATTTTTGAGACCTATATAGTATCTTGAGTTAATCAGAGAAGGAACTGAGTCCATCTTCTTATTTTACAAAGGGTAATCTTTCTTTACATTCACAAAAACTGTACACACTTCTTTTTCAGTGTCCTCTCTAAACAGGAAAGCAATCTGCTGAGATCACCTGTCCTAAGGTTTCTGCATAAGCATGTTAGAGTGGCAGCTTTCAGCTGAGGCCCTGTTGGTGGCTCAAGTTATAGAGCACTTGCCTAGCATGAACAAAGTACTGAGTACCCCAGTGCCACTTTGTCCTCCCCCTGTACCCCCAAAAGAAGAGGTTTCTTTTAGGCCATTTTAACTTGATAATCTCTGCTCTATAACAAAATGGTTCTCAAGTAACTGGATTCTGCTATCTTGAGTGATAACCCTCATTCTCTAGTGCCTCTTGGTCTCTTTTTACCATGTCTCTTCCATTCTTAAAATTGCTAATTAGGTTATAGCTAGGCAATACCTGGCTAGAAGCTCTTTTTTCTTCTTTTAAAAGAATATGAACACAGATCAGTTGTACAATGGTGAGTGAAAGTTCATTGTGACATGGCAGTAATATGTACATTATACTGTAATCAAACTCACCCCTCCTGGAATACTCTCTTAAAGTGACTGTTAGCTAGATGCTAGTGACTCATGCCTGTAATCCTGGCTACTTAAGAAGTTGAGATCTGAGGATCAGAATTCAGAGCTAACTCAGACAGGAAAAGTCCATGACACTTTAATCTCCAGTTAATCACCAGAAAGCTAGAAGTAGAGCTTTGTGACTCAATATAAAAAGTATATAACAGCAAAAAAGTTTATCATAGCCATTTTTATTAGCTTATACAGAAGGAGTTTTGGTGTTACATTTCCACTGATGTTTACAATATGTTCCGGGCATTCTTACTACCTATCTTAACCATTTTTAAATAGTGATACTAAGTACAAATTTTTGTACAACCATCACCACTGTCCATCTCTAGAATTCTTTTTGTTTTGTGAAACTAAAACTTCAACAACCATACTCCTTATTTTCCTTGTCACCATTTTGATGGTGATCTTACTCATTTAACATCAGGATTCATGGGGCTACCCTCTCTCTTATGTATAGTCTACACACTCATCTGAGTCATTCTGTTTTTATATCTAGCTTGTTTAAGTTCTCAAGTTGTTATTTTGTATTTAATAAGCAAACACAGACACACAAGATTTTTTTTGGGGGGGGGGGGAGTCCAGTCATGGGGCCTGAATTCTGGGCCTGGGTGCAGTCCCTCAGCTCTTCAGCTCAAGGCTAACGCTCTACCACTTGAGCCACAGCACCACTTCCGGCTTTTTTCTTTTTGCTTATGTGGTGCTGAGGAATCAAACCCAGGGCCTCATGCATGCAAGGCAAGCACTCTACCACTGAGCCACCTTCCCAGCCCTACACACGAGATTTTTATGAGCCAAATAGCCCAAGGGCAAAAACTGAGAGGCTAGTAGTGAAGATGGAAGGCATGTGCCATCAACGCACCAAATGGATACATTCAGAACCTTCTAACAAGCAAAATCTACATTTTTCTCAAGCACACAGCATATTCTCTAGAAGAGATCATGTTAACATAGAGATGATTCTGTTAAGCCACAGAACAGATCATAATAAATTTAAGGTTAAAATCTTAAATCATGTCAAATGTCAATAGTGACAATTTTGAAAATTTAACAAATATTTGGAAGTTAAGCATGCTCCTAAAAAACCAGTAGAACAAAGAGATTAAAAGAGAAACTTAATATCTGGAGACAAACAGCAATGCAGACTACATGCCAAAACTCTACAATAAAAACAGTTTCAAGGCAGTTTATAACAATACCTATATTGAAAAAAAATAAACACAAAACTAATTTTTTTAATCTACATTTAGATAGTGAGACAGGAGTCAAATAAAAGGAAAACTTTAGGGGGAAAGAATGTAAGGAAATATGGCCCGGTGCCAGTGTCTCACACCTGTAATCCTAGCTCCTCAGGAAGCTGAGATCTGAGGATTGTGGTTCAAAGCCAGCCCAGGTAGAAAAGTCTGAAACTATCTCCAATTAACTACTAGAAAACCAGAAGTGACACTGTGGCTTGCCTTAAGTGAAAAAGCTCAGGGCCTGGCCCAGACCCTCTGTTCAATCCTAATGACGGACAAAAAGAAAAAACGATTAAGAAAATTTGATACTGCAAGAATACAAAGGATCACAAGAACACTAAACACCCGCAAATTGAATGACCTAGAGGACAAGGGTGCATTAGGAGGCATTCCTAGATAGATAAAAGCTGCCAAAGCTATGTATGTTATCCCAGCCTCTTATAAGGTGGAAATAGGAGGACCATGGTTTGAAGAAAATAAGGTCTCTCAAAAAGAGAAAATGTGGCACACTGATGTAATTGAAGATACAAGGGAAACAATGATCGCAACTCAAAGACAGCCTGGGCAAAAAACTAAGATCCTTTCTGAAAAGTAACTGAAGAAAAAAAAAAAATGAGGAGGCATAGCTTAAAGGGTAGAATATTTGTCTACCAACTATGAGGCCCTGAGTTCAAACCCCAGTACTGCCACAAAAATAGGAAGAAAAGGAAAAGATCGGAATAGATATTTCTCGAGGGAAAACATGAAAAGGGCATGTTTACAGGAGTCACACTCCAGTAGTCGCAGGTACTTGGAGGCAAAAGTAGGAAAATCACTTGAGACAAAAAGTTCCAGACCTGGTTAACCTAGCATGACCCTGTCGGGAAAAGCAAAGAGCAAAAATCAACAAAATAAATTAAAAACAACAACACAAACAGCCAACAGTGATATGAAGGGGGGGGGGAAATCCCAATATTATTACCTATCAACCAGATACCAGTGGCTCATGCTCATAATCCTAGCTCCTGAGGAGTCTGAGTTAACAAAGTTCATGGTTCAAAACCAGCCCTTGTAGAAAACTTTATGAGACTCCATCTCCAAAATTAACAGCAAAAAGTAAAGCTGCAGATGTGATTTAAGGGGTAACATGCCAGTCATGAGCGAGCAAGTTCAAGCCTTTCCTGGTACCAGCACATGCACAAAATATTATCAGAGCCAGGCACTGGTGGATTACACCTGTAATCCTAGCCACTCAGGAGGCTGAGATCTGAGGAGCGCAGTTTAAAGACAAGCCAGGCAGAAAAGTCCATGAGACTCATGTGTCCAATTAATGACCAGAAAACCAAAGTGGAACTATGGCTCAAAGTGATAGAGTGCTAGCCTTGAGCAAAAAAGCTCAGGGATAGTGCCCAAGCCCTGAGTTCAAGCCCCACAGGAAAATATAAATTAGAACCACAATGAGGTATATTGCCTCATAGTTATTAGAATGACCAATATAATAAAGATGAAAGATACTAAGTGTTTAAGAGGATTAGGAGAAAAGGGAACGTTGCATATTATTGGTAGAAATGTAAATCAATACAACTATTGTGGAATATTGTATAGAGGCTCCTGAAAAATATTCAAATTAGAACTAGATTATCATCTGACTGGACAGATGAAGAAAACGTGGCTTATGTCCACAATAGAATACTTTTCAGTCTTATGAAAGTTTTGTCATGTGCAATAACATGGATGAACCTGGAATATACAGATTGAGTGATATAATCCAGACAGTATGACAAATGATTAATTTTGAAGTATAAAAATATCAGGAACAGACAGTAAAATGGTGGTTAATAAATGCCAGGATGTGATAGACCAGGGAGAGGTTGGTTAAGTGATGCCCCCCCCCCCAAATACAATAATTTAGTTTGACACAAGGAATAAGTTCAGAAGATCATCATACTTCATAGTAATGAGAGCTCATAGTAACATATCATAGATATAAAATAAAGATAGATTTTAAGAGTTCTCACCACCAAAAGGTTTGTAAGTATATACTTTGAATAAATGGATTTAGTCATACCAAAATATGTACATGTATCAAACATGTTGTACACCACAAATATATATATTTTATTTTTGCTCATTAAAAGACTTCATTATAATTAGATGTTCTCTATTCTAAATCATTTTGTTTTGTAAAGACTAATACCATACTCGCTTAAAATTTGTTAAAAATAAGATCCCAACAAGATCCAGTACGTCAACCTATTTAAGAACTTTTTTTTTCATTTAAGAACATTTTGTATTTTTGCTAAGAATAAGTAAAGACTCAGAGGAACTACACAAAACATGGGACAGAAGGTTGCTTTCTATAATGGATAGAAGGCAATTCAAAAATATCATACTTAAAAGCAAACAAATACTAATCACCAAAATACATAACATTGTTTTCTACGGTCCCAATGTGAAAACGTTTAAAGCTGTCAAGGTATGTCAGAAGTTTGCAGGAAATGAGCCCATAGTAAGTCTCAAACAGGGAACATTCTTTCCCATCATTGATTTCCTTCCATGCTAGGAGCATTTCTGTTTCTGCAGTTTGTGAAGATGTAAAGATGAACTTATAGCAACATCTATTATATCTGATGTGTCTTTTCCCAGAAAATCTTGAACTATGAATAGGTTTAAGGCCAAGGGACTTTGCACAAATACCTATAAACACATCGGCAGGCACCATAATAGGCATTTCTTTGAAAATGACATACATCATCCGGGCTACATCTTGAGAAATTATAAATGCCTCACCACTACAGTAATCTGGGTAGTATTTTTCTGGATACTCACTAAGAGGCACAAATTCTTGACTCTGAGGGTCTCTGTTGGGTGCATCCTGATGGTTAACCCTTCCTACATAGACATCTTCAAGGTGTTCTTTCAAATTCAGAAGATAGTCCACCAAGCTTGGTAGATTGACAAACATCTCTTCATCGACCTTGAGAATAAACATGGCATTAGGGCAGAAAGTCACAGCCCACTGGGTCATTATGATGATCTTCAGCGTTTGGTTCTCCAAACTGTCCAAGAAGATTCCTTCAACTATATCATTATTCTTATGTGACTCTTTGTCAATCTCTTTCTGTGTAGTGACCAAAACAGGCATTCCTAAAGCAAACAGTGTGAGCACGGAGTGTCCTTGGACACTGCTCACATTTCCCCAGGTTCTCCTGATGAGGTCTCGCCTTGTGCCATTTCCTGGGCTACTGAAGATCAGAGAAAGCAAAAAAATGCTCTTCCCTTTACACACTTCCGACTGGCTCAGGACATAATATTTGGAAGGATGATTTCTTAGAGGTTCCATGTTCAATTTTCTTGCCTTATCCTTAATTTCAAGGACTTTCATATTGACATGAGGCAAAGAATGCAGAAAGTATTCTTCCACAAAGTCACCCCCAAAAAGCAAAGCATGAAATAGGATGACATTAAACAGAATAAAACACCACTGGTGAGTTCGAAGTCTGCAGAATGTCACCTAAATAAGAAAAGAACAAATGTTCATTCAAGCTTAATCTATCTATCTCCTCCTCCTCCTCCTCCTCCTCCTCCTCCTCCTCCTCCTCCTCCTCCTCCTCCCTACAGAACACTATATGAACTTTAATAGTTCTTCTTTATTATTTGTCTCTTCAATAAACGTAGTCTTATAGACACAAGCATGATAATCTCTCTTTTTTCACATTGCCAAGTTTAGTGTGTTTGGACACTAGTTAGTCATTTTTTTCCTTGTTTGAATGAAAGACTATTTTACTATATATAATACACTGTGTTGGACCCTAGAAATACAAAGAACAATCAGACATAGACAGGAAGATAGGATACAAGTAGGCTCATTGTAATAAAACCTGTAGGAAAATATGTGTTCTTTCTCTAATGGAAGCACTTGGATCAGTTTCTTCTCTAATTACAAAGGTCAACAGCTATTTTTCCATGTTGTTTTTGGTGGCCATGTACTAGCTATTTATCATTTACTTCCTGCTAGTGCGACTTCTTCTTTTTCTTTTTTCCTTTTCTTTCTTTCTTTCTTTTTTTTTTTTTCTTTTGTCAGTCGTGGGTCCTGAACTCTGGGCCTGGGCACTGTTCCTCAGCTCTTCAGTTCAAGGCTAGCACTCTATCACTTGAGCCACAGCACCACTTCCGGCTTTTTCTGCTTATGTGGTGCTGAGAAATTGAACCCAGGGCTTCATGCATGCAAGGCAAGAACTCTACCACTAAACCACGTTTCCAGCCCTAGTACGACTTTCTAATTTTATCTAATACTGAATCTGAATCTGTTTTGACATCTCCTAATGATTCTGATGTGTCTGTCAATATGAGCAGATTCGTACTATACACAAAGCACCTCTCCAGATATCTAGAATAGACATGTGCCAAGCTTATTCCACCTTATCAAAAGAGATGGAAAAGTCCCATATGGAAGTAAATATGCAAAAATGTAATAAAATGATGGAATAGTAAAGGAATTAATTATTCATAGGAAGTTTGGTTTTAAAAAGGCCTCATATAATAGTAGTGACCTTTGCCTGGTGTCAGTGACTCATGCCTGTAATCCTAGCCACTCAGGAGGCTGAGATCTAAGGATCGTGGTTTAAGCCCAGCCTATAAAGATACATTTGAGGGACTCTTATTTCCAGTTAACCAGCAAAAAACTAGAAATTGGAGGGTGTGGTTCAAGGGGTAGAGTGTCAGCTTTGAGCAAAAATAGCTAAGCAAAATGACCCTGAGTTTAAACCCAAGTACTAGCACACACAACAAAGAAAAATATTAGTTATTTTTCATGGGTAATTGTTGTGTGCCAGACACAGTGCTAAGAACTTTAGGCCTTAATTCATTGAATTCTAGTAATATCCTTTTCAGATGGGTTATCTTCTAAATTAAACTGAGCACCTGAGTGGTTAAGGGATTGGAGGAGGGTCGTGGTTTGAACTCAAAACTGTCAGATTATAAAGCTTATTCTTAACCACTAGAAAATCCGGAATCCTGTCTTTCCTTGTATGCATTCATTTAGTAGGAAAACAAAACACAACAAAACCACTTCAGACAATTGTAATCTTTACTCTTTTCTATTTTCTCATTACAGGTGATTTACATATAAAAGAAACTTCAGCAGTCTCTATGCCTATTTTAATAAACAGCAAATGCTTCCAAGATTATCAGAATCTTACCTGCATGTTGTCTATGAGCAATTTCAGGTCTTTCAAAGTTGTTAAGTCCAGATGTCAAAATATATCTCAGGGTATCTCCAGTCTATCAGCAATTGCAGTAAAGTATGCTGTGCCACAAACTTTAAGGATAAGGTTTCTTTGCCAATTGACCTGAGCTTTTGTCCCAGAATACTTGCTGCCTGCATAGGAGAGTAAGTACTTATCATGTTACAGTGAGAGCAAATTCAGAGCAAAGAATAGAAAAAGTTCAGAGAATTGTTCACCTGTATCATCTCTCCACAGCATCACTGCCAAAGGAGGAAAACTTTATTTTTAAGTCCGTCTTAAAAAATGCTAAACAGTTGCAGCACTTTGATACAAGTACATTTTTAAACTGTTCTGAATATTGCCAGATACTTGCCATCCTTCATGGATGCATTTTCTATCTTCCAAAGGAAATACCATATAGTGATGTCTTATATATCTCATACATCAGATTCTGGATTCCTGGATAAGTTACGTAAGACCATTGCTATGTCAATTGTTAAGTCACACAAGCTACCTCCTCCAAGTAAGTTTATCCCCAATCGAAAAAAAATTCTTATATTCAAAGTTGACTGTATTTTTTTTAACATAACGTGCAATATTGGAAATCTTCATCAAGTGAGAGAATCTAACCTAAAAATTAAAAAAGTCAAATTTTATTAAGTTATGGACCTTGTAAATATCCAATTGTATTTTACAGTATATTTTTCTTTTCTTTTTGGGTCAATTGTGGGGCTTGAACTCAGGGCCTGGGTACTGTCCTTGAGAAATTTTGTTCAAGGCTGGCACTCTACCACTTTAAGCCATAGTTCTACTTCTGGTTTTCTGGTGGTTAATTGGAGATAGGGTCTCATGGACTTTTCTGTCTGGGCTATGATCCTCAGATGTAAGCCTCCGGACTAGCTAGGATTACAGGTGTGAGCCATCCATGCCTGGGTATTTTTTTTTTTTTTTTCTTTACTAAGGTTGGAACTTACGGCCTTTTACTTGTTCAGCTTGGTTTATTTAGCTGGTATTCTACAACTTGAACCATGCTTCAAAACAGGATTTTGCTGGCTATTTTTGAAGACTGACTTTTTTTTGGACTTTTCTGCCCAGGCTGGAATCAAATTTTGATTCTCTGGGCCTCAGCCTCTTGAATAGGTAGGATTACAGGTGTGAGCCACTGGTGGAGTTATTTTTCTCCTTTTTAAAAGTATTTTGTTTCCCTGTATCTTCTCTGGATTGACATTTAGTTTCTTTATCTAAGAGAGATTCAAAGAATATCTCTATGGGGGAAGATCTATCTGTAATTTTCAATTTGATTCATCAAGCTTCTGACCTCCTGCGGTTGAGACAACTTGTTGCAAAGAGATCTTGGACTTCTTTACTTTCTTCCTTGCCACAGATGTTATCCAATCTCTATGTCTATCTCTTCCTAAATGTGGTCACCAGTTAATCTGTGGTTTAGAAGTCTACAGTAACTTCCTGTTTCCTATCAAATCCAATCTTCTCTCTTTGGACCTGACTTTGGAGACTCTATAATAATTTGTTTTCAGCCCACATAATTTTTACTTCCCATGTTTCAAGTGCCTGAGGTAGGATAGATAAGATGAGGCAACAGGGAAATTGGAAATAATTTAAAATATTTAAAAATACCAATTCAGGAAAGATAAGAAAACCAGGAAAGAAAACTGAAAAATCACTGGGGAGCAGCAAGTATTTCTTCCCTCCTCCTCCTTTCTTTTAGATGAAGCAACAGAAACCCGAGGGGAAAAAAGACTCTGTTGAATATGTTCTTTGAACCAGAGGGGAATGTCCTAAATATTACACTCATTGTTTCCATGTTTTAAGCAATAATAAGACTCATCTGAGGCTCCATGTTTTGCCTAATAAACCCACCTTAAGTTCATTGTCTGTGGGCTTGCAAATTTAACAAAGTGATTATGCGTTATTAGGTGCTTTGGGTAGTTCTATTGGTAAAGGGTCAAGCTGTGTAGTGGGGAGGGGCAGTGAGACAACTCAGTCCGCAGTGAAAATGTAAAAGATTTTATTGAGGGAAAAGTGCTGGCGCACCAGGACAGCACCTGGAGGTGGGATCCCAGGAACAGCCCCCAGTGCCAGCCCACACGGGCTTTTAAGCATTTGGGGCTAGGGCGGGGAAAGGGGGAAGCTGGGTATTGGTTTTAGCCAATGATTGTTACAAGAAATGCAAGAAATACCTTAAGTTTAAATTTCCCTGCCAAGGTTTTGCCGTCAGGAAGCAGAAGAATAGAACAAAGGGTGGTGATGGTCCCCTGGGCTAGGGCTGCCATTGCTCAGAAAACAGCAGAAGCAGTTACAGAGTTACAGGGTTATGGAGTTACAGAGTTACAATTACAGTTACTAGCTAAAGTGATGAGTTACCAGGCAAGTCTTATCCACAGGACACTTACATTTATATCTTAAAAATCATTCATTATCCATTTTACACAATCCAAGTCAAATATCATATTCCATCTTTACATCCTCCACCAAATCAGCTGGAATCCCCCAACCAAATGATACGATTATTGGGACAAGAACCAGCATTTTGAGCCTCTGTTTCCATTTTCTGCATGTGAGGAAATGTTCCCATTTCCTCCATAGTGAGGAAATTTGGAGCCTTGATATGTTGTAGCACTAACTCCCATTGTCCTATTATGTTTGGATTATGATATCCAACACGGTAGTCATTCTCCAAGTGTGCCCATATAAACTTTAACTAAAGCTAACCAGAATTTTTATTTATTTTTTAATGCTGGTACTGAAGTTTGAACTCAAAAGTCCCCAGTGAAGTAAGAAAAAGAACTGTCGCTGCGTTGGGGCAAGAGAAAGTTAGGGGAGAGTCATAAGCATTCTGGGCAAATCTGGACCCAACGCTTGAGAGAAAGTTTGTGCCAAGGTCCACCCGTAATAAAGTTGGAACAGATCTTATTGCGCATGCGCTGACTGACAACCTCAGTAACTTTCCCACTTCCCCCGCTCTGGGCGGGGGCCGGAAGTGCAGCCGCTTCCGCCTGGCGCCGCGGACGGGAGGGGCGCGCGGAGATGACGTACAAATACCGGAAGCCGCTCCCCTGTGTGGCTGAGGATCGGGAGAGCAGCGGCCTCGGGTCCAGGTCTGTGTACGAGGCGGGGCGGGTCGGGGAGGGAGGGGGCTTCTGGGTGCTCGCGCCTCTGCTGACCCGCCGCGCCCGGGTCTGTTTGTCTTTCTCTCCCTGCAGGCGCCATGGCTGCGGAGCGGACCCGGCCGCTGCAAGGCTCTGGCGGCCCGAGCGCGCCTAATCGGTGTGAGCCCGGCGCAAGGTCCCGGGCCCCGGGGCGCTCGCTCAGGTCAGTGCCGCGCGGAACACGACTCCGGGAGATGGGGACCTGGGAGCGACGAACGCGTTCAGGGATCTGGGGTTTATGGTAGAGAGAGCACAGTAGGGGTTCCGAGTTCCCGCCTCCCGGTGCCTTGGTTTCCTCCGCTGCGAAACGAGTTTCACAGTGACGTCCCAGGGCCACCGGGAGTTTGAAAGATGAAGCGTGCAGACGGACAAGGCATTGTAGCGATATCAGGGACTGCGCCGTAATTGGAATGTTATGAAGACAGGTTTGTATGTTGGGTGCTGCTTGGAAAACGACCACAAAAAGCACAAGGAACCACGTTTGTCCTTAAGTAATTAACGGTAACTGACAGCTGTTGCAGGTTTACAGCGTGCCAGGTGCCATGCAAAACGTGTTAATCGTTAGAAAAGCCCTTGTAGGTAAAGCTGTTCATGGATCCATGATTTCGAGTGAGGAAATCTTGAGATAGACGTGTTCAAGGTCACCCAGCTGCAAGTGGAATTGCAAAAATATTTATAAATATTGTTTGTATTCTTATACAGCTCTTAAAACATTTTTCAAGCGAAAGACTTTAGGTCAGGTATGGTGGCGCACACCTGCAGTTCCATCACTGTCGAGGCTGAGGCAGGAGAATGGAAAGTTAAGGGTCAGACTGGGCTACATAGAAAGATCCTCTCAGAAAACAAACAAAAGACCTAAAAGCTTTTTAATAGATAGTATTTTCACATTTTTAAAATAAAAGTCAAGAGGGGCCTTTATTCTTTTTCTTCAGTTCTCTGGTGCTCTCTGGAAGCAACCAGTATTAATGGTTCTTGGATATTGAAAATATATTTTATGTCTGTATAAGTTCATAGGTATGTATACATTTTCAAAACCTCTGCAGGAAAACAGAGACAATGACACCTCAGTAAATTTCATTCTTTTTTTTTTTAAATTTCATTCTTTACTAGACCAAGTTGTTTAAAGTAAGGTGGGCGCACACAAATCCACGCTGTTTGATCTGGAATGTTCTGTTTAGGATTTTTTTCTTTTTTGAGGGGACTAGGGGGTAGGACTATGGACTGGGGAAGGATGTTAAGCTTCTGTTTCCCCTCACAACTCCATCTTGTGGTCCGTGTATTTCCTTAGTTGTTAGTTAATGGCAGTAATACTCCTGAACTTAGTAGTCCCATGAACTTGTAAAGGGCAAATGAGGTCATGTTTGTGAGCGTTACTTTAGTCTTATAGATCAGTATAAATAAATATGAGAATTGTCGAAGAGAACATAAGTGGTTAATAGCAGAACCAGAGCCTAATTTCATCATTGCTTGGCACTAGTGGCTATCATCTGTAATCTTAGCTACTTAAGAGGTTAAGATCTGAGGATCGTGGTTTGAAACCAGCCTGGGCTGTAAGTCCATGAGACACTTATCTCCGATTAAATCCCAGAAAGCAAGAAGTGGAACTGGGGCTCTAGGGGTGGAGTGTCAGCCTTGAGCACAAAAACTCAAGGACAGCATTGAGAGGCTGAGTTAAAGCCTCAGGACCAGCCCAGAAAATAAGATAAAAATAAATAAGTAAATAAAAAGAATATTTTCATTATGCCACATTTCCTCAAGAGCTTTGTGACCAGTAGTGTTAAAGGCAGGAAGGCAAGTATAATGTTTAGTCTTGGAGATTGGGGAAAAAAGGCTAGACAGCAAAGGATATGCGTATGGTAGGTAGAAGGAGGAACATGGTAATAGTGATAGCCTCATGTCAATAACTCCTCTTAATTATAAAGTTAATAAATATGAGACCTTGAGTTTTTGTTCTACATATTAAGAGAAACTGTAAGGTCATAAGATTGAAAAGGATGTTAGTGGGTCATGTCCAGTCCAATCTGGTGCCAAAAATGGGGTTTCTGGCAGATGTTCATAATGGAACTAATACAAAGTACTGGGTACTGTGCTATATGTCCCCCTGCTTTATTTCTGATTTCTTACTCTGCTGAAATTGGGTTATCTCTTCCATTTCTATAGATGATGGAACTGAAACTTAGAAGTAAATTGAACATTGCCATGATCACATAGGAAGTGGCTGAGTCAGTAAAATATTTGCTAGCGCCAGAGCATTTTCATTCATCCCATTCTGTCTTTGTATACAGCTATCCTGACTAGTCACAGAAATGGGAAACTCACCACTCTGGAGGTGGCTATATCATCCTTGGAATGTTGTGATGATTTAAAAGCTCTTTTTATTCTTTTTGGTGGAGGTGGGATAAGGGAGGCGAAAGATGGAGTTTCTGGACTTTTCTGCCCTAGCTGGCTTTGAACCAAGGTCAGCTGGATCTCAGCCTCCTGGATAATTAGGATTATAGTCATGAGCTACTGGCATTAGACTTTATGCTTTTTCTTTTTGTTTGTTGTAATTGGTTCACAGGTTGTTTTTTTTTTTTTGTTCTCTTTAAATCAGTTTAGTCCCTATTGTAAATAGTGAGTTGATACTTGTTGACATTAATGCAGGTTACTTTAAAATTCTTTTGCCCAGTTAGCCCTAGAACAGTTTGTCCTTCTCCCAAAGGGGAAAATGATATAATGAAATAGACTTAGTACACCCAGATCTTACTATCATGTGATGATTCATTTTTATTGTCCTTCACTTCAGAGACACACAGTGCACTTGGGTAGTGATTTTTGAGAGCACTAGCTTCCAGTCTGTTGTATTTTACTAGCCCTGTGACTCTAAGCAATTTCTTACCTGCTTTAACATCTTTTGCAAAGTAAAGATACCCATTTTTAGGTGTTTTTTAAGCATAGGGATTATGAATTTTTGTTTTATTTTTTAATGAGATCTCACTATGCTATAGTCCAAGCTGTCCTTAAACTTGAAATCCTCCTACCTCTGAGCAGCTAGGGTTACACTGCCACTGTTGCTGGCAGCATCAGGATTATTAATTTGCCTATTGCACAGATTTCTGCGCCCCTAATAGCTCCAAGTACATAATTAAGAGTTATCACAAGCTTATATGAAACTTCGAAAAACAGTCTATGTAGGGCCTTACTAATGCATGTTTTGAAGAAGGTACAAGAACCAGAAAAGGACTCGTAACTTAATATGTGTACCTATGTTTTGTGCTGAAAACATCTGTTGTAAAAAAAGAAACAAAAAAAACAAGTAGCTCTGTGATTGTGGTGATAGGTCAGGTTGTACCTTGTATAACTAATATCTTAGGTTACTGCTCTGGAGATTTGCCTTTTGGTTGTCACATCCTGGTGCTTATTTTTGTGATTTTTAACAACCATATTTAGCTTATTAAAGAGGAAGTAGTCTTACATTGGTTTTGCTGGGGTGGGGGCTTGTGTTAAAGAATACATTGACTGTGGATGAATACTTTGTAAATCTTTTATTGTGAAGCTGCATGTAGCATGTGATAGACTTCAAAAGGAACAAGACATGGATACTAGCCTATCTCCATGACACATTTTATAAGTCCTCATTTGTTAGAAGTATGTTTTGCAAAAGTATTTTTCTTTCTGTGCATGAAAAAAAAATTCAGATAATTAAAAAGTGTTAACTGTCAAGTTGTAGTAACTAAGCGTTAAGATGTGATACAGTTTTTTACACTAATTTTAATACTTCATTTATTAGCAGTCTTGCTTGAACGGTCTCTTTGAGCAGAACTAATACAATATTTTGATGTGCCACAGGTAAATATTTCCATAACCTTATGGAGAGAAAGGACTTTGAGACATGGCTTGATAACATTTCTGTTACATTTCTTTCTCTGACGGACTTGCAGAAAAATGAAACTCTGGATCACCTGATTAGTCTGAGTGGGGCAGTCCAGCTCAGGCATCTCTCCAATAACCTGGAGACCCTCCTCAAGCGGGACTTCCTCAAACTCCTTCCTCTGGAGCTCAGTTTTTATTTGTTAAAATGGCTCGATCCTCAGACTTTACTCACATGCTGCCTCGTCTCTAAACAGTGGAATAAGGTGATAAGTGCCTGTACAGAGGTGTGGCAGACTGCCTGTAACAATTTGGGCTGGCAGATAGATGATTCTGTTCAGGACGCTTTGCACTGGAAGAAGGTTTATTTGAAGGCTATTTTGAGAATGAAGCAACTGGAGGACCATGAAGCCTTTGAGACCTCATCATTAATTGGACACAGTGCCAGAGTGTATGCACTTTACTACAAAGATGGACTTCTCTGTACAGGTAAGGCACTGGGACTGGTTTCTTAGGGGTAGGATGTTCTTGTTTGTTTGTTTTTAAAATCATTTTCTGTGGTACAAACTTAACAACACACAAAGTACTCAGGCTTGGAGAATGGTGAGTGTAATTGTTATCTTCAGTGGCATTTCCTCCCATCCTTGAGTAAGTTTCCCTTCCCTTCATATTCTCTTTCGCTATAGAGAAAAACATTTTTTAAATTAAGATTTAAGAGAAAAAGATTCAGATTTTTATGAAGTATTATCTGAGTCAGAAACCTGTAGATTACTTTTTCTATACTTTCTTACATTTTAACATTTTTTTATTAATAAACTTTTAAGAAAAAATAGTAAAAAACAAAATAACAACAACAAAAAACAATGTTTAGTCCTTCATTTCGACAAATTACTTAACATGTCTGTGTTTGATTCCTTGTTTGTAAAATGTGGGAAGGAGATATTTCTTCCTTATTTTAAAATCTTGCAATTCTGAGCCTGGCAATGAAGATAGTTTTAAACTAGGCAGTTAAATGACTATATTATAACATATAAAATTATTAAATTTTAGAAGTCTGTTATTCCATTATGGCATTAACTGCGGTTTCTTCTTAGATGTCCTTTGTCATATTAAGAATATTTCCTTCATTTGTTTATTTTTGTGTCAGTCCTGGGCACTGTTCCCGAGTTATTTTGCTCAAGGATAGTGTTCTACCACTTGAACCATACCTTCAGTTCCAGCTTTTTTTGTGCTTAATTGGAGATAAGAGTCTCATAGACTTCCCTGCCTGGGCTGCCTTCAAACCTCGATTCTTAGATCTCAGGCTCTTGAGGAGCTAGGATTATAGGCGTGAGCTACCGGTACTGAGCTTGTACCTAGCTTATTTTTTAGTCACTAATTGGTATTGGATTTTTGTATCTAATACCAAAAGTTTTTTGTATCCATTCAGATCCATAACTTTTTTTTTTTTGTCCTGTTGATTGTGGGGCTTGAACTCAGGACCTGGGTGCTGTCCCTGAGCATTTCTGTTCAAGGCTAGCGCTCTTTGAGCAATTTGAGCCACAGCACCATTTCTGATTTTCTGGTTATTAATGGAGATAAAGAGTCTCAAGGATCTTCCTGCCTGGGCTGGCTTCGAACCATGATCCTTAGATCTCAGCCTCCTGAGTAGCTAGGATTATAGATGTCACCCATTGGTGACCAGCTTGAGAAAGTTTTTTGTATCTGTTAACAGAAATGAGCATGTGAGTGTTTTCTTTCATTCTACTAATATATTACATTGATGGACTTTTTAATGTTAACTGAATCTTGCATTCCTAGGATAAATGCTATTTGGTCATAGTATATTAAAAAGTTACTTTTGACTTATGAGTATGTGTTTTCACAAATGGTTATAATCTGTGCCTACATTTTGACAGGTAATTAAATAATGCTTAGCAGTAGTTAGAAAGGCTCTGGGCAGTTCCTATTGTGAGGGAGCAGTACTAGATTTGAACTGGGAGCCTTGTGCAAGACAGGTGCTCTACTTTACTACTTGAACCATGCTTCTAGCCCTGCTTTTTGCTCATTATTTTGGAAATTGAGTCTAGGAACATTTCTTTCCTAAGCTGGCCTTGAACCTTGATCCTATAAGTCTCAGCCTCCTGAGTAGTCATTGGTATCTGGTTGTTGTTTTCATTGATCCAATGCCTATTTACTTAACACCTTATATATAAGGATGCTTGGTGTTCTTTTTTTCATCTAAGATAATTTCTGATAACCTTTGTGTATGTATACCAGTTTACTTAAGAATAATTTAAGAATAACTTTTTTTTTTTGGTCCAGTCATGGGGCCTGAACTCTGGGCCTGCGTGCTGTCCCTCAGCTCTTCAGCTCAAGGCTAGCGCTCTACCACCTGAGCCACAGCGCCACTTCCGGCTTTTTTCTTTTTGCTTATGTGGTGCTGAGGAACCGAACCCAGGGCCTCAGGCATGGAAGGCAAGCGCCCTACCACTGAGCCACCTTCCCAGCCCCTTAAGAATAACTTGTATAAATATATTATTTTACTATTCCCATATTATTGCACATTCAGGTTCTTTTTAAAAAAATGAATGTGTGTGTGTGCTTGTGCATGCCCACACACTTGCGTGTTTGCCCATATTGGGATTGAACAGAGGGTGTCAGGCTGTTGAGTAGTTTTTTTTTCTGCAAATGGCTGGTGTTCTCCTACTTGAGGCAAATCTTCAGTCCTGCTTTTTTCTGGTTAATTGGAGATTGGAGTCTCAGTTTTGTTTGCCTAGCTGGCAATCCTCAGATTTCAGCCTTTTAAATAGCTAGAAGTACAGATGTGAGCCACTAGCATCCAGCTCAGTTTTAATATTTTTAATAAAGTGTATAATAATTTCTCAAGATTGTTTTAAATTTTCACTTCCTTATTAAGCACCTGTATTTTTCCATATGGTGATAAATTCTCTGAAATGCTAGATATTTTCCCAGTTTTATAAGTTAATTCATGCTTTGGTTTGTCATCCTGAATTTACTTAATGCTTACCTGATTGCTTTTTACATGCCTTTTTTGCCTTATGGTTTATGGCAAGGGTTTTGTGTGTGTGTGTGTGTGTGTGTGTGTGTGCACACACACACACATGTTCATATGCACATGCATAAGCTGGTATTGGGGTTTGAACTCAAAGCCCAGGCATTGTCCCTTAGCTTTTCCTGGTGCTCTACCACTTGAGCCACAGCTGTACTTTTGGCTTTTTGATGGTTAGTTGGAGATAAGAGTTAAGGACTTTTCTGCCTGGGCTGGTTTTGAACCTCAATCTTCAGATCACAGCTCTCGTACTTTTAAGTAGCTAGAATTACAGGGGTGAGCCCCTGGCACATGACAAGTATTTTTAAAGGTTAAGATTCGGTATTGCCTTGGAGCTCTTTTCCATTTAGGTAAATACTGGTTTATAATCACTTTTTTTTTTAGCTCCCCTTGTCATATTTTATTTTTGAAATAAAGTCTCACTAATTTGGAGTAGAAGTAAATTCAGAATAGTTAGTGAATTCTTTTTAGAAAGTTAGTATTGCAATAAATGGACCCATGCCTATGTTTTTTGCTTATATGTTTAGTTACAGTGCTGGGGATTGAGCCCAGGACCTTGAGCTTGCTAATGAATTACTTTACTATTGAGCTACATTCCCAGTCCCCTGTCCGTGTGTGTGTGTGTGTGTGTGTGTGTGTGTGTGTGTGTGTGTGTGTGTGTGTGTGTGTGTACATGTGTGTATGTTCATGTGTGTGTGTATGTACATGTGTGTGTATGTGTATGTATGTATGTATGTATGTATGTATGTATGTATGCTGGTCCTGGTCCTGGTGCTTGACCTCAGGGTGCTATCCCCTAGCTTTTGTGCTCAAAACGAATGCTCTCTTGCTCAAGCCATAGTTCCACTTTAGGCTTTTGAAGGTAAGAGTTGCATAGATTTTTCTGCCAGGGCTGGCTTCGAACTGCAATTCTCAGATATCAGCCTGTTGAGTAGCTATGATTGTAGGCATATGCCATAAGCACCTGGTCCTTGTCCCTGCATTTTGTGATTAGTATCTAAGTAGATCTATATTAAGTTATTTCTATCCTACTACCCAAATTTTGTTCTAAATTCACCAGGTTTGTATATTTTCGCTATTGATAATGATACAAATAATTAGTTCAAGTTTTCTAAAAGCAACATCATCTCTGGGGCTTCACTAGAGAAGAAATACACTAGAGAAATACCTGTTTAAAGCTGTATATCTTTGTGGCATCTTGTCCTAACTCTTTGATTTTTTTTCACTCTTTAAGTTATGAAATCTTGGATTTGGCAATAAACTTACAGTGACCCTGTAGACCCCAAGCCAGCAATAAAATAGTATTGCCAAAGAGATTCATGGCAAATGCTAAAATTGACATAGTGTAGATAGAAGTAATTAACTTTCTGTTTCGTAGTTCTGAAATGGTTAGAAAGGAGCCTAGTGTGCCTTTACTGGTAGATACTTATGTTTGAAATACCTACCACTTCAAAGGCAATAGAGAACATACGTGGGAGAAGTAGGGGAGTTTTTACCTCAGAGGACACATAGCTTGGAGTAGGTAGGTGACCTAACTTAGGTAAAAGTCTGCTTGTCAAATCAGAGCCCTTGTCTTCCTTCAGAGTAGCAGTGCCATTGCAATGTATTCAGGCTTGGAGCAGCTAGAACTGACTTTCCAAGAGAGGCTTCATATGTAGGCATTAGTAAAATAGTCTTGAATTTTTTTTTTTTTTTGTCAGTATTGTTTTTTTTTAATTTTTTTAATTTTTTTTATTTTGGTTGGTCATGGGGCTTGAACTCTGGGCCTGGGCACTGCTCTTCAGCTTTTCAGCTCAAGGCTAGCACTCTACCACTTGAGCCACAGCGACACTTCTGGTTTTATGAGTGGTTTCTTGGAGATAAGAGTCTCACGGACTTTCCTGCCCTAGCTGGCTTTGAACCGTGATCCTCAGATCTCAGCCTCATGAGTAGCTAGGATTACAGTTGTGAGCACCAGTGCCCAACATGAGAACATTTCTTTTTGGGCAGTGTCACCCCTTCTTTCATTCTCTCTCAGTGATAACTTGAATTCATAGAAATAAATAACTATACATACAAATATTAAAAATATAATGTCTACACAGTTCTTTTTATGTATTATCCCAAATATTGCAGGGTTTCTAGTATTCCTGGTTAATGCCAGTAATGGCTCTACTCTAAGACTGTATCAACTGAAGTTATCCTCACAATTTTTCCAATCAAGGCCTTTTTAGAGAGGTCGCAGAATTTCTGAGTTTTGAACTTCCAAATTATTCTCTTGTTTCGCTGTAGCTGGAATAAATAGGTCAAGAATTAGAATAAAGGTAAAAGGTGATTTAAAAATCAAAAGGGATGATTTGAATATAAAAACAGCTACTAAAGTACAGTTGACAGGATTTAATAATAACTTAAATATGGACAGGAGAAGAGAGATTTCAGGAATGGCCGAGGTGTCTAA